AGAATAGACCGGTAAAAGAATTAAAGAAAAACCTATGCAGTATTTAAAATTATTGACTGGGGTAAAAATGGTTTCTGAACATGTGAAAGAGCTTGTGGTGTTGTGGGTTTTTTTTTTTTATTATTATTATTATTATTTTAAGCCAAGAGCAAACTTTTCCTTTAGTCTCGCAATTTGAAATTATCTGGGTGGCTTTTTTTCCCCTAAACATTGAAGGTTTGTTTTTTACAGACCATTTTAAATTCCTTTTCCTCTTAATAATCGCTCTTGCTTGCACCCACAAGATAATGTTTGTCTATATGGTTTTGCTGGATTACTAAATTGACAAAGCATCAGAATAAACAACAATCTGTTGTGAGTAGAATTAGCTGGTGTGTGTTAGGCTACATTAGAAAATAAATAAATAAGCTATTTCGATAATGGTTCTAGGCTCCGAAGTGAAAGAAGGCCACGATGGCTCACTCCATAGCATTCTATGCAATTCAAAATGATTACACTAACCTATCAAAATGAGTGGGGATGGGGGCAGGTGAGTGACTGAGTTTGGAGTCAGTTTTTGCAAGATATTCTGGTTTTTGGCAGACATCCAGAAAGAGCCCGCTCTATAGTCCGTACATTTATAATCCCTTTAATGTATTGGCTTTGCTACAACATGCTGATGTCAAATAATAAATGTGATATTGTAGTTCATGGGAGGGATTTTGTTGCCCCAAAATTGGACTGAACATATAACATTATGGTGATGGAAATTCCTTTGGAGATGAAGGGTTTCTTTCTGCCGGGCTATCTGTTCTCCACAGGCCTCCCAAAGTAATTGGCACTAATCATTTGATGTGTATGGGTTGTAGAAGTTTGACCTTGAACCTAATGAAGACTGCAGGGGACCTGACCTACTGCGAAACATCTTATTACGGTTAAGGCCCAGAAGAACCTTTCACTTTTGCCACCTGTTATAGTCTTGGACCCTCTTGTAAAGGGTTCACTTGTAACCTATCCTGGTACATTTCTAATAGGAATTTGACTTACTCATCAGGATTAGTTGTATCCAAGGGTATGAATTAAAAGAACATGCCTTTCTACTGGGGTGAGGTGAAGTTCATGGAGTTCAAGCTGTTATGAAACTCTTGAACTATATACTTTCAGGTTTGCAAAACTATATTCTTAAGCTGAAAACCTCTCCTCTCTAATTTAACATCTCGCCTCCCCACGGACCCCCAAGGATGATCCAATGTTAAGAACCAGGCTATTCTCATGAAAGAGGAATCTGTGATTTATATCAAAGCTAGGGTGGCATAGGCAAGTGCCCTATATGCAGTGTTAATATCCTGTTCTGTATTTTTACTAACCTTATTTCTCTCTGCCCTTCTGCTACTTTATTTAATAGGCCTGCACATTGTTTAGAAACTGTTATCAACCACACTCTCCCAAAACAGCAGTTTCCCCACGCCCTAGGATTTCTCTCTTGAGTTGAAAGTCACCCTACCTGCCATCTAGGAATTCTTCCTTTTTGTATAACTTTGTTTCATCTACTCACTTGACCTAGTTCATTCTAGATCAGATCATTTCAGTAGAGCTGCAGGTTTCTAGCTGGATGATGAGCTCCATACTTGAGAATGAGTTCTGGTTTTTGTATGCAGGGATATGACTAAGGGTTGAGGTTTGGATGTGGCTGGAAGCCACCTGGCACATCTAAATAGTGACCTCATAACATCTTGATGGCATTATATGAAGGTTGAGGATT